TTTTTTGAGATGGAGTCTCACTCTGTCTCCAGGCTTGAGTGCAGTGGCACAATCTTGGAATCTCCACTCACTGCAACCTCCGCTTCCTGGGTTCAAGCGATTTTCCTGCCTCAGCCTCTCGAGCAGCTGGGACTACAGGTGCGCGCCACCACACCCAGCTAAGTTTTGTATTTTTAGTAGAGATGAGGTTTCACCATGTTGGCCAGGATGGTCTCAATCTCTTGACCATGTGATCTGCCCACCTCAGCCTCCCAAAGTGCTGGGATTACAAGTGTGCGCCACTGTGCCCGGCCTTCTTATCAATTTGTTGGAACTTTATATATTCTAGATGTTAATAGTTTATCTGATATATTGTAACTATTTTCTTCAGTCCATTGCTTTTCTCACATTTTTTGTATGTTTTGTCATATTAAAAAATGACTTTCATTTTTTACATAATTTACATAATTTTACATAATTAAATTTTTATGTTTACATAATTAAATTTGTTGGTTTTTTTATTTGTTCCTTCTGAATTTTTTTTGTTTTTTTGAGATGGAACCTGTCACCTAGGCTGGAGTGCAGTGGCACGATCTGAGCTCACTGCAACCTCTGCCTCCTGAGTTCAAGTGGTTCTCCTGCCTCAGCCTCCCAAGGATTACAGATGCCTGCCACCATGCCTGGCTAATTTTTGTATTTTGAATAGAGACAGAGTTTCACCATGTTGGCCAGGCTGGTCTCGAATTCTTGACATCAGGTGATCTGCCCACCTCAGCCTCGCAAAGTGCTGGGATTACAGGTGTGAGCCACCACACCTAACCCACTTCTGAGTTTCATGTCTAGATTTTCTATAGCTCAAGATTAAAAATAAAAACCCCGGCCTTATGCACAAATCAAAGAGCTAAACGTAAAAAATAATGCTGTAACTAACTACACTAGAAGAAAATGAAATTGACTAGGTTTTTTTTGATTTAGCTATTTTCCTGGAGTATCAGTTTATCTTTAAATAGCCAAGAATCTGACTTACATGCTGTTAGTAATATAGCATGAAAATCCTAACATGCTTTTCTGTACTTTAGCCGTGATGATTTCATTTGAAATCCTAAATTATAAACTGATTTAAAAGTTATATATGTATGCCACATCCATGAAACCCTCCTTAAATCGCAAGCTTGGACTTTTCTTCCTTCAAGCTACATCTGTTCCTCCCCTAAACTTCCTGAATACAACATTCTTCCTATGCAATAATTGTAGTCTAGTATCTATTACAGTAAGTTTCCAATGCATTTTATCTTAGTGATTAGATTATAAACTCAAGGTAGGGACTGTGCCTTACTTGTTTTAATAGCCTATATTGATTCCCAGAGATAATGACTTGTTTTACATAAAGTGAATGAATGAAGTAACATATTTGCTTTATTTCAGCTTCTTTGCCCAAAATGCGGTGCCAAGTTGGGTTCCTTCAACTGGTATGGTGAACAGTGCTCGTGTGGTAGGTGGATAACACCTGCTTTTCAAATACATAAGAATAGAGTGGATGAAATGAAAATATTGCCTGTTTTGGGATCACAGACAAGAAAAATATGAACATGGTATTTTATCGCTTCGGAAGAAACTTGCAGATGATATGTGCTGCCCTTACTTCTTACCATTCATGGCAGATTGTTTAGGCTATCAACATTTCATTTGAAATGTGAGAAGATAAAATCATTTGATGTAACCTGGAAACTATACTTTGTTAGCTTATTATATAAGTAGAATAGTTTACGTGGCAATCAAAACCTTTTAGTCATATACATTTTATTTGATATTAAAATCTTTTATAACCAGATGCTGTCTGCATTTCATGTATTTTTTAAAGTTCTGATTTTTGGAATGTTATGTGATCTTAAGGTGTGTATAGACAAAATTATGTACAAAAATTTGAAACTATTAAATTTAAATGGATATTCTTTTATTTTCAGAAATGCAAAGCAGATTCGTTTAGACATATTTTGGAGTTATTTCTCTTCCTTTCTTCCTTTCCTTTCCCTTATCTTTTCCTTGCCTTCCCTTCCCTTCCCCTTCCTTTTCCTTTCCTTTCTTTATTTTCTTTCTTTTTTTTTTTTTTTTTTTTTTTTTTTTTTTTTTTTTTTTTTTTTTTTTTTTTTTTTTTTTTTTTTTTTTTTTTTTTTTTTTTTTTTTTTTTTTTTGAGACAGACTCCTGCTGTGTTGCCCAGGCTAGAGTGCAGTGGCGGGATCTCAGCTCACTGCAACCTCCACCTCCCAGGTTCAGGTGAATCTCCTGCCTCAGCCTCCCAAGTAGTTGGGATTACAGACGCCTGCCACCATGCCCAGCTAACTTTTTTGTATTTTTAGTAGAGGCAGGGTTTTGTCATGTTCCCCAGACTGGTTTTGAACTGAGCTCAGGCAGTCTGCCTGTCTTGGTCTCCCAAAGTGCTGGGATTACAGGTGGGGAGAGCCACTGCACCTGGCCTCTTTGTTTTAAGGGACGTTAGTAAACCCATACATGTCTGGATTTTTTTTATTGGAAATGTAAAGGAAAGGCCATTAGTAAAACGCTGATTAAAATGCAATTTTGCTATTATTGTTCAGTAATCCCAATTATCTATATTTTTAGAAAAGTGAGATCCCTTTTGAAGTGATCTATATAAAGAAATGTGTTAATGTTAGATGTGTTTCTAATGATAAAACAAATGTAGAGTTACAATATATCAAGTCATTTTTTAGCCCAATATGTGAATAATGGAAAAGGTAATATATTCAGATTAGTTTTTTAACCTGATCTATAGAAACTAGAATTATTTTATTCAATAATTACAATTGGATCTAATTAGATATTTGAACATTTACAAGAATCAGAATTGACTAATAAAGGCCAGGTACAGTGGCTCACGCCTGTAATCCCAGCACTTTGGGAAGCCAAGGCAGGCAGATCACTTAAGGTCAGGAGTTCGAGATCAGCCTGGCCAAAGTGGTGAAATCCTGTCTCTACTAAAAATAAAAAATTAGCTAGGCGTGGTGGCACATGCCTGTAGTCCCAGCTGCTTGGGAGGCTACTCCAAAAAAACTAATAAAGAAAAATATTGTCCGTGTCCTTAAGACATTTTGCATATTTACACGTACATATGTGTCTATGTATATAGTAAACACCATAGTGGGAGTAATTTTAAAATACAAAAATATGTTATGAATAATGATCCTCTTAATAAATGCCTAGCTCAGTTTTTTAAATGTATAGGAGTATTATGGAAAATTCTTGAGAAAAATCTTAACATTGGACCTGAAGCCTTTGGCAATCTCCGTGTAATAATTTTTCTTTATTTATTTTTTTTCTTTTTTGAGATGGGGTTTCACTATTGTTTCCCAGGCTGGAGTGCAATGGCACAATCTCAGCTTACTGCAACCTTCACTGCCTAGGTTCAAGCCATTTGCCTGCCTCAGCTTCCCAAGTAGCTGGGATTACGGTGTGCGTTAATTACGCTTTGCTAATTTTGTAATTTTAGTAGAGACAGGGCTTCAACATGTTGGTCAGGCTGGTCTCGAACTCCTGACCTCAAGTGATCCACCCACCTTGGCCTCCCAAAGTGATAGGATTATAGGCATGAGCCACTGCTCTCTGACATGTTTTCTTTTGAGAAAAAATTACTTCATTGGTTTTAGCTTTCATAAAATCATACAGCTTCATACTATTATTCTCTAAAAAGCTTTTTAAAAACAGGTTGAGGAGATTGGGTGTGGTGGCTCATGCCTGTCCCAGGACTTTGGGAGACAAAGGCGGGTGGATCATTTGAGGCCAAGAGTTCAAGACCAGCCTGGCCAACATGTGAAACCCTGTCTCTATTTAAAAAAATAAAAATAACAGGTTGCAGCATGTGAAATTACCTCTTTTGTAGGTAAAAAGTAGTTACATAGCTGCAGTTTAATATGATTCAAATTAATGCCTATCCATCATACATTGTTGATCAGATTATAAAATCAGATAGTATGGATCAAATGTAATTTTAATTAAATTGTAAATTCACTAGTCATACTCCCCACCATTTGCAGGGTTCCAACAATAGTATACATTGAGGCCCATATACTATTTGTCTTAACTTTTAAAAGTTATAAATTGGCCAGTGCAGTGGTTCACGCCTTTAATCCCAGTACTTTGGGAGGATGGTGGATCACTTGAGGTCAGCAGTTTGAGACCAGCCTGGCCAAGGTGGGGAAACCCTGTCTCTACTAAAAATATAAAATTAGCCAGGTGTGGTGGTGGGCGCCCATAATCCTAGCTACTTAGGAGGCGGGGAGGCAGGAGAATCGCTTGAGCCCTGGAGGCAGAGGTTGCAGTTAGCCAGGATCGCACCACTGCACTGCAGCCTGGGCGACAGAGCAAGACTCTGCCTTAAAAAAATAAAATTACAAATCAAGCTACCTGTTTAATAAAATGTTTTATTCTATTATCTTGACAAATATACCTTCATAATGATCTGTCAGACCAGGTTTGAATTTAGAATTCTCTGATTTTATAAGATTCCATGACAAAACATGGCAATGTAGGGAGAGGTGGCCCCCACCCACAGGCTGCCTCCTTTATTTCCCCACCCCTTGATATGTTCTGTGTCATGAAGAGCCTGGTGCATATATATATATATATGTGGATCCTCCACCTGTATGTATAAGGTCTCGCTACAGCCCTGGTGTATACCATTGGCTCATTTCACTCTTAAGAGGTAAGACGCATGAGCCAGCCCTAGAAGCAGGCTTGAAGCTATTTGGGCTATTTGGATGTTAGATGCACGTCTAGAAGGGGGCATGTGTTCTAGCTGAGCACATCACGTTGGCAGTATGGATTCTTATCCTGTGGGGACAGAGCCGAAGGTAAAGTGTGGGTCCAGGGTAGGAGCTCCTCTTACCTAGACCAAAGGGTGGTATTGTCTCTAGACATAAAGTTCTTTTTCAAATTTTATTTCTATTCTAAGGGTTTAAGTTGAAAACGAGGAGTAGATTCAAGAGAAAGGATTCAGTAACATCCAAGACTTAACGATTTAAAAAGAAAAGCCCGGCAACTAGAGTGGAAGGAAACTTCCTTAATCACAGTGTATATAAAAAATCTATGGGAAAAAATCTTATTTGGTGGTAAAACTTTTCAAACATTCATATTAAAATTGAAAAACAAGTTAAAAGATGCCTACTCTAGCCCCTACCTTCGGTATTGTATTAGAGGTCCTAATCATTGCAGTAAAACAAGGGGCAGAACAGTTTAAGACTTAGGAAAAAAATCTGAACTCACTAATAAATCTCAACATCGCTAAAAGTGGGACACTATGTATATGCTGCCTGCTATGATGCAAGGGAGCACCTATGAAGTATTCTTGCAAAAACAAAAACAAAAGCAAAAACTATCCATTCATGCCTTTAGATGTCACTGGCAGTTTCTGGAACAAATTAAGCATCACCATGAAGACATAATCAGCAGAATCACAAAGCAGGAAATTCTATAGGACCAATGATTTTTCAATAAATGGCATGGGGGGAAGAAATGGAGAGGGAATTTTCATATGAACTAAATGCAATGTGAGGACGTTGTCTGGATCCTGATTTTAATTAACTGTGGAAGGAAGGGCATTTTTAAGACAGAAAACTGAACATACGACAAGTGTCAGATGACATTAAAGAATTACTAATTTTGTTGGGTATGATAATGGTATTATCAGTATGTTTCTTAAAAATAAGAAAAGGCCTTGTCTCTTAAAGATATAGGTTGAAGTAAAAAAAAAAAAAAAGATATAGGTTGAAGTATTTATGGGTGAAATAATATGATATCTGGATTTGCTTTAAAATATTCCAGGAAGGCTGGGCATGGTGGCTCATGCCTGTAATCCCAGCAGGAGGTTGAGGTGGATGGATCGCCTGAGGTCATGAGTTTGAGACAGCCTGGCCAGCATGGGGAAACCCCGTCTCTACTAAAAACACAAAAGTTAGCTGAGCCTGGTGGCAGGTGCCTGTAATCCCAGCTACTTGGGAGGCTGAGGCAGAATGGCTTGAACCCAGGAGGCGGAGGTTGCAGTGAGCTGAGATTGCACCATTGCACTCCAGCCTGGGTGACAGAGTGAGACTCTGTTTCAAAAAAAAAAAAAAAAAATTCCTGGAAAAAAACAAAGCAAAATGAAAAAAGTTGTGGAGAGGCAGGATAGATAAAACAAGAATGGCAAATTTTTGAAGCTGAAGCTGGGTGATAGGAACATGGGGATTCACTATATCAGCTCTTGTGTTTGTTTGAAAATATACTAAGTTTATTTTAAAAATTAAAACATTAAATAAAATAGAATTTAAAAGGTTGGTATTTGCATAATGTTCTTCTACATAAAAAAATCCTAAAGAACTTTAGACAATTTTTTAAAAAAATCATTTTTATCACATCTTAATTTTCATCTACCATTACACACACACACACACACACACACACACACACTTTTTTTTTTTTTTTTAAAAGACAGAATCTTGCTATATTGCCCAGGCTAGCCTTGAACACCTGGGTTCAAGCAATCCTCCTGCCTCAGCCTCTTGAGAAGCTGGGATTACAGGTGCATACCACTGTGCCTGGCAAAGACAAAATATTAGAATAACAGAATTCAGCAAGGTTTTTGGTACAAGATTGCTGTAAAAAAATCCAGAGTGTTGCTATACCCCAATAATAGCCAAATAGAAAAAAAAGGATGTGAAAAACAAAACTATAAAACTATGAAAATTAAAAATTCATAAAAGGTAAGAGTAGACAGTTCACAGAAAAGGAAATAAGGTTTCATAAGTATGGAAAAAGGCACCACTTTGCTAGGGAAATGT